AGCTCAGTGATCGATGACGGCTTGTGTGTCAGATAAACAATTCAACAAAACTAAGTTATTCATGTGAGTCTACTTAACACAACTGGAGAAGACACAACTTTTCTCTAATTCTGAATTTTAAAATGCTCTGGTGAGAACCTTTATCGGACGAGCCAGGCCTCGGTGGGCTGAAGAGCCTTCCACTCCGGGTCCAGAACCCACCGCCCTTTCCCCTCACCCCAGGGTTTTGGGCCCGCCCTTGCGGTCAGGGGCCGGGTTGCAGCTGACCCATCATCACTCGCTCACAGAGTCGAGCCTCAGCCTCGGCCGGCCCAGCAGTCAGAGCCTCGTGAAGACCTCAGGCAGCTGACCAGGCAACAGGAGTGGAAGCTGCTGGCCTCCGGAAGGGGCAGCACCCCCGCGGTGGAGGGAGGCTGCTACTCCAGTGCTCCAGCCCACCAGTGGGCTGGGGATGCGCCAGGTCCCGCCCCCGGCAGGTGCCTGGGATCAGGCTCATGGCCAGAGGCAGCAATCCCGCCAGTTCACCCTCCCCTCCCCTCCCTGGCAGAGCAGACCAGGGCAGGCACCTCCGCTCCGTCCGGCTCAGCCACACCCTGCCCGTCCTCCGGGCTTGGACACAGACCTGCAGCCAGATGGCCTCCCTGCTGGTCAGCTCCTGCATCCGGGCCTCTGCTCAAACCTCATGTATCACGTTTGCAAAGCGCTGAACCTGTTCCAGCACGCCCGCTTTCCAGGCCCCCTTTCCGGGCCGACTTCCCCTCACTGCACCTGGCCCCCACATCTACCTGCTGCCTCCCCCAAACCAGCCTCGCCTTCCCAGGGAGCAGGACCTGGCACCTGGGGGCCACACTCCCGGCCCATGGACAGATCCAAACCAGTTCTGGGCCTGCACGCTCACGATTGTCGGCACTGGCAGCGAGGGCTCCTCTGAGCCTGTGAGGAAGGGGTGCTCCAGGCCCCCTCCAGCTTCAAGCTGTCTGTGGGCAAGCCTTGGTGGCTCTCCGTGATTACCTGCGACTCCATCTCGCCTTCATAGAGCTTCTTCTCTCGCTGCGCGTCTACACCAGATCCCCTCCCTGTGAGAACCCCCGTCCTTTGGGGTTAGGGGCCATCCTTGTGACCTCATTTAAAAGCGATCAGCTCTTAGCGATTAGGAAAGAGCCTGTGTCCGAATAAGCCCACACCTGAGGTCTGGGGGTTCAGACTTCAACATACCTTTTGGGAGGACACCAGCCAGCAGCCCCCATCAGGTAGCCAGGACCCTGGCCATCTCACCAGTGAAATGATGCCAATAATGGCACCGGCCCGACTGGGGAGTGACCTGACGTCAGAGAGGTGCCTCCCTGTGCCGCGTGGGCCCCGCAAACAAGGGCCTGCTCTCGGCACGCTCCAGAGCC